CAATGTGCTCGCTTAGTCGCACTTTTAAAATCTCTGGCGGCGCAGTGTTCCACCTCATGGAACACCCACAGAATTAAAACAGTAAGTGCAATTTATACAAAATTTTACCTGTATACTCCTTTAGGCCTAGATAGACTGACTGCATACATTTTTTGTTTGTTTTTTGTTAAAATTCAGACTTTAAAGTATAGTGCACTTCAAAGGGTTAAACATAAAATTATAAGCATGAAGATTTAAAGCAGCTGTGATTCTGAATTACCAATGATAGACTGCTCATATACATGGCAAAGTGGTGGTTCAATAAAGCAAAAGAATTGTTTGGTGAAAATTATGATAGCAAAGCATCATCTGCATTTAGCATTCCCTAACCTGATAAAAAAACCCATTCTCTAACCTTTTCTAAAAAATAAACAGCTCCTAGCTCATATGCCAACTTACCACAGTCGGTTAATGATTGACACCATGCCATTAATGGTAGACAAGCAATCTTGCACTATGTACTCTTTCTCGGTAGACATGTAGTCTTGTACTATATGAATTATCATGTACATAAAGGTGAGAAATGTGGATGTTAATTATACCTGAATGCACTTCCCTACTGTGTAAGTTCTGTGATATTTTCCTCTACCCACATGGAGCAATCCCCTCTTGCATAAATCCTGGTTAATGAACTGGAATGCTTAGAAATTAAGTAACTGTCTGCTCAGGAATAATTTTCTATACAACTTTTGAATAGCTTCTGCATTTCTGTCTGCAGCACCAGGATAAAATGAGTGTCAACAAGCTCTGCGCCCATGCAGTGATGCATACTGCTTGAAATTTACAGAGCAAATGATAATTTATACCAGAGGAACGCTTTCACTTATCTTAACAGCACTCCCTATCACTTCAACAGGCCATTGATTATAAAATCTATTTCAGTCTTTTCTACCTACATTTCTGCCAGATATTTTAAAAACACCATGTGTAAAGTTTTAACATATACAAATGTAAAATAATTTCCATATTAATAACCCTTATTAATATTTATTACCAATTTTTTTTTAAATATCTACCCTCCTGAATTTCATGGCACATCAGATTTATTATTATTTTTAAATGAAATCATTTAAACAGCAGATAAAATCTTTTGCATTTATTTCATAATTTCTTTTTCAACACATAATAAACTCTAAAAAATTGTATCCCTTTTCTCAAATTCTTTTCATAAACAGGTGAAATAAAGTTCTATTCTAATCTAGTGCATGTATGAAAGTTCTCTCAATCTGAGCTTTCCTAAAACCCAAAAATGAGTCTTGCTCAAAATTAATACTACAGCAATGCAGCCAGAGTGTACTTCAGACAGTGTTTGGCATAACTAAGAGCGTTTAAGTTTTTTTTTTTTTTTGAGGGGGTAGCAATTTTGTATAATACATATTCACTGGTTCAGCTTGAAGGAACTGTGCAGCAAGTACAATAGTGCTTGTAATTTGAGCATACAGTTTAAAAATTAAATTGTTTTTAATTTTACATTTAAGGAAAAACATAGCAACTGAAATCCAAAAGCACTGACACTCTATAACATTAATACAAACAATTTTAATAATCAATAGATTAATTTCCCATATAATTTGATTTAAGTGTACAAAGACACCAATCACCAACCAATGCTTGGCCAACTGGAAAAATAATCTACCAATTCCCCCTCCCCAAACCTAAATTTTGCTTTTATCATACATAGATATTCCCTCCTCACTCCATTTTGCTATGTCTGCTGCTATTACGCCACATTAGCTCTCCCTTCCTATGTATTGGAAAATGTTCTTTTTACTGAAATAGTTATGCCTGCTTTAATGGAAGAGCAACCGCGTTCCATAAACATGCCATATTTAAGAGCAGAGTGAGCTACCACACAGGCAGTACATACAGGAAACAGCTCTTCCCAGGAACTACAGATCTAAGGAGAAGCTTAGATACCATCCAGTACCTAAAGAAAAGCGTCATTTAAGACTGGCAAGCAAATTGCATATACTGAGAAGGATATCCAGATGGGAACTGGGATCATCTCTCTGCACCTGCAAAGTTCTGGAAGAAGAAACCCAAGAAGACACAATAGAAGAATGGGCACAGCTATGCTAGATGGCACAGTATCAAATGATTCACCACCCAAAGATGGGTGCTGGCTGAAGAAGAAGAAGAAAAAAAGTTTCATATGACTGGATTTACTAGAAATGCAACAAAGATTACATACAGAGCATGTTCTTTGGATATCTTTACTTAATATCACATAGTAATGAAGCAAAAAATAGTTTTTTGAAGTTTATCACATAAATGGCTGAATATCATGCAAGTACAGGAATTAGTAGACAAGAGTTGAAAAGCTTTGACATTATAATCATACCACCATTCTAATTCAATGTATGAAGTTAGCAAAGATTAGAATGGTAATTTCTGCATACAATGATTGGCTGCCCTCGGGTATAGCTGCTTACTGCATGAGTCATGCAACCTTATTTGGTCTTACAGTGCTACTGCATTTGATAAATAACATCCCTTGTTGTCAAAGAAAACTTCTTTAGTTTTTTAATGAAGATGATTGCTGAAAGATGGCATCAATGAAAGTTGATGTTCATTGCTGCTCATGTCGAGGTCCACAGATGTAACTTCTTCACCTTTCAGCCATGTTGAGACATGTGAAACAATGAATGCAAAAACACATCCATGTCTTTCATATAGTAAGTGTAGTCATCTCAGCCTCAGTGACAAATTAGCACTTGCACCAAGAAACAAACACAAATACTAACAGCAAATGTACAGATGTAGTTTTCTTCGTAGACAATATACTTGTTTTTATGCCACAAACTTCAAGTTTGACCTCCAAGATAATTTAGCATCCTAAAAGGCAATGAGGCACCCATAGTGTCACATTTCCCAACCTTATTAATTGATGGTGCCAGACACAATAGCAGCAGAGTATGCTAATGGCAGATTTGCCACACTGATGACAATAGACATACATACAACAGCACACACATGGAGAAGATAAATGATATCATGCTTCAGAATGCTACAAAGGGTCTTAGGTAAGCCCATACATTGTAGCCACAGCCCAATGCAACAATAAACCACACCATTACACAAGTCTCAGTAACATGGTCTAAAATGCCAACAACCGGGCAGGTCCTCTCGCATCACACTAAAAATGCTACAATGAAGACCTGTATAACAGTCACATTGAGCAGCTAGCATTCACTAAAAAAAAAAAAAAAAAAAAAAAAAAAAAAAAAAAAAAAAAAAGACACACATTGGCAGCACATATGCAGGTGCATTTCTGCACTGGAGATATATTTGATTGCACATTTCAAATGGACACTGCAAGGTCACCAATTCCCTCCTGGACAATGAGCATCCTAACCTTACTAACAGAAAGCATCATGAGATGATGGTAGCAAAATGAGGTCAAGCTGGGTCCCCTCCTAGAGGAATTAAAAACCCTCATGGGCATTCACTGAATGACCAAGATCAGTGGGTTGTGGGATACAGTTACCACATACATGTTTAGCCCCATATCTTTTGAACCCACGAGCAACACGGATGTCTTACCTTCTATTCTAGATTTTGGAAGAACTTCATTCTAAACTCACAGAATGGCTGCACTAGGATAGAGCTGCTTTAGCGAGATGGAGTGACACTATTCTTTGAATCTATAGTCAATATGGATGTCTACTGCAGTGGTACTTTGGTATATGTCAACTTTGAAATAATACTGTTTGGACTTGAAAATTTTTATTTCATATACATTTATCTGGAATATGATTCAAGTTCAGCAAGTCATGAATGCACACAGCACACTTCTTTACCTATTTTGAAAGAATGCTATGACTTTCTATGAGTGTCAGTACACCTGTTGTTATGATTTAGTAAACATATAATGCTATAAGTCTGAGTTTTAGGAAAGTTATGGAGAAGAGTCAAGCAATGAAGAAAATTATTATAATCATTATGGAAGTGAAAAAAAGAGCTTGCTGAAAAAATATGAAGATGGCACTTGTATCTGGGACTTAGCTATTACATACAATATGGCAGGTATGATAGTCAGTATGGCTGTGAAAAACAAAGACGTCATTAAATCAGCTAGCACTGCTAAGAGAGTCAAATCGATTGTTCAAGATGAGAGATGCTACAGCATTGTGAAAAATTGCTTTTGATATGGATAGCACGATAGCATATCTGGATAGCACGAAAATATTTATGTACTGTATCACGCATAGCTCTTCATTTATGTACAGTGCAAAGTCCGAGATCCAGGCGTCCAATAACCAGAATGATCTAAATTTTTGCCTCAAAATAATCAACTTTTTTTGTATGTTTTACACATGCACATGAGTTTTTCCCCGCAGATAGTTCTGATTCTTTATTTCACTTCAGCACTTGAAGAAACAATAACTTAATAGCATAAATTTGTGTGATGAATAATTTGGTTGCGTAGCTGCTTGACACAAGTATCAAACTGAAACATTCTTAGTCATTCAGTAGTTATACTTCAAACTACATCATTGATTTTATGCCTCCTAATATTTTCTACCCCTGAAGCCAACCTGGCAAATCATTTACATTTTGCTTTCAAAACCACATGTTCACCAACACATGACAACTTGAGTAATGACTCCTGCAGCAATGCCCAAACAATTTTTTTTTTCATTAGTAATTTAGTAGCAAAGAGTATGGTAACCTTTCACATTGACATCATGCTTAGCAATGATTACAGATTTTAGTTAAATGCGCCAAGAAATGTTGACGAAATATTTAACAAAAAGTTCTTTCCATATGCTAAAAGTAGATTTTGTACTTGGGTATTGGGTACTTGATATGTGTACTTGGGTTCAAAAATATAACTGTACATATAAATGAATAAAAATCATGACACAAAAGAAAGCATTTTAATGCATTTATAAATGCAAGTTAGCTTAGCATGTCTTTACAGATTACATAAAAAAATTAAAAGGACTCTCAAATATTACCTGGTGGAATCTTGCAAACAGTGGCTGGATGCCATCCATATCTTTGGTTACAATTGGGACTTTGAACAAATATGCTACTATCACTCAAACATTCTGCGAACACCTCACCACCTATATAATACAATCTGACACCACGTCCTAATAAAAGATGGAAGTATTAGTTAAAGTATTCAGAAAACACATACAGTGGTATGCACGAGAAATGCGGCACTTTCATTTCTAATGAAATTAAATTATAAGAAATGATACAAAAATTCACTGTTGTTAAAAAAATGGACATTTATGTTTTTGTTTAAACAGTATTAATATGGCAAAAAGATGACAAAATTTATCTTATTTCCATTTAGGAAATAGCAATAAAAGCATTGTTAGGTATAAGAAAACAGGACAAACATGTTAGGACATTTAGAAAATATTTGCTAAACAATCAATAAAATGAAAATCTTTACAATTTTTTTTTCTAAGGCACTGCCAGAAATCACGTTGAAAATTGATTTACATACAGGAAATTTACAATAGCTTCATTGCTTATTTTTCCATGCAGTCACGATACTTCACAACACACTTGGTCTAATTTTCCACAAGCCTGTGGATTAACGTATTAACCCTTTGACTGTCAACAGCTCTAAGCTGAAGCGTTTCACAAAAGCAGCGTGTTGCCATAGAATGCCCGACCAAATACTTTTCCCTCGTTGCTAAGCAACAAATGAGGTATAAGGTTTCTGTTGAATGTTGGACTTATATGACAGAAATAATTTCCGAACATACACAACACGGTAGTAAACAGGCAAAGTCTTCAATGAGCATGCATTTGCACCCAGAGTTTACATTGGCGGCTCGCTCCGGACTCATATATGTGCCCATAGGTCCCACTGATGGTTTCTGCTGGATGCATATATGTGCCCATAGTAGTCAAAAGGTTAAAGAACCTTTTTAGAGTAGTTATTACCAACTTTGCAACACTCACCCCTCAGAATCATATGCAAACTTCTGATTCTCCATTTTCTCCAAACAAATGAAAGTACAAAGTCCCCAAGTCTGAAATGTGTAACAAATATTCCATACAAGCCCATCAACAACAAAATACAAGTAACACTTTGCTACTCCTCCATGATGCAAGAGCAAAACAACAATATTGTATGAGCTACTGTATAAGTGATACAATCTTCTGGCTTGTTGTAATTCCTACAAAACATTTGGTTTTCCATGATGCAAGTTGAGAGCATAGTTTCCATGCTATATCAGTTACTGTGTAGTTGATGCATTTTGCTGGACCACACATATACATAACCCCCACACAGCATTTTACTAGGAAGGCACAAAATAAGACATTTCATTCTTTCATAACTTAATCTCACATAAACTGTTTTACCAGATTTCTGGAACTAATAATTAGAATATTCAAAATGTCTTTCTCAATACAGCTAATTACCAGAGGGGGCTTTCTACAGACTGACAATTTTACATTTTAAAAAGATAAATGCATAAGCAATTACTATAAATCTACTACTTATTATATAAATTTTTTATTAGGTATTCAAAAAACATCTATTAAGAGTAAGAGATGATGTGGATGAACTTTTAAATTTTTTTAATGTGCAATGATCATTTTGTGTTGAAAAAGTCAAGGAACAGCCTCATTGGGCGGCAAATGCCCCCTCCAGGAAATGAGTAAAAAGTATACTTTTTTTTAATTGATGTATACATAAAACATGTAAATGTGTTATTTTACACTGATGGAATTAATTATTCTACTACTTGTGAACCTCCCACATTAAACAATTAAAAAAAAACTGCATATACTCAAAACTATTAAAAAATTCATATGATCAGTTACAATAGCAAAATGGAAGTTTTATGCAAGTAAAGAAATGAAGATACTTGTTATCTGCAAAATCCATGATGGCAAAAGATTGCTTTCTGGAGTAAATACTTTTCTAAGGAATAAGTATTTTTTAAAAACCATTAACAAAAGCAAATTTAGCATTCTTGACTCTAAGAAGACTAAGAGCCTGAGGAAAAGTATATGAACTGAAAGCAAAGAATACAGTCTTAACAGTGAAATATGGTAGACATGGTATGGCAGTCTGGGAATGTTAGGTTAAATTTGAGAAATGCACTATGTAAACTAATTTGATAGAAAGTACAAGAACATCTAATGAATTAGAACACGATTAAATAAAATTTAAATATCACAACGGATTTAAATTTTGTCAAGACTTAAAATTGTATGACACATCTATATCTTACATACCATAGTTGACATGACCTGGAAAAAAAATGCAAAAACATATTATTTCCAATTAAGTGAAGTTGTATGTATGGTAAAAATTTCATGTATCATATACCATAATTATATCACTTTGGTGTCAGCTTAGTATTAATATTTTAATTTTTTTAACTTGTTTATTCATTTCCTAATGCTATTTTAAATGTAATTCTGTTTTAAAATGTGCATACGTAATTCTAGAAATATTCGGTATAAATTCCTTATTATAAGTCATTTTTTGTTTAATTTAAGAAATATTTTATCACTTGTGAAAGCCCCTGTACAAAATTTTAACTAGACATTTAAATACAGAAAATGTTAATTGCACTCTTTTCCAGTAAGATTAAAGCTACAGCTTTACATAACAATTCTGAAATTATTCTTAAAAAAATATTTACCATATTAGAACCATATATTACCAATATGCCATCAAAAATCAAAAATTGTATGTTCCAAAACAATTTTCTGCAAACTGAAGAAAGAAATGAATTCATGACAGTTCTAATACCAAAGGCTATATTACAGAAACAAAGGACACCTGTTAATTTGAATAAACATGTTACTGAAATTATCCTAATTCAAAAATAAATTTACAAGAACTTAGAAAGGAACATTTTGGAGGGGAAATTTCCTAGTAATATAAAGGATCAAATGAAGTGCTTCTTATACCTAATTCTGAGGCCAAATATAAATTTTATTCCCCAGCAGCTAAGAGGGAAAGATTGTACCTGATATGCCATGTACCCAATATGAAGGATTACACCTGATGTATACTTGCCAACCTACGACATTCAAAAATCAGATTTTTTAAAGAAATCAGGAGAATTTTTCTAAATGATAAAAATATGCTTTCTATGCTACACAGAACGAAAATATTTTTAAAACGAATTAACTTTATTATCAATATCTGAAAGTTCAGTTACTAATTCCTAAATGCAAATACAGTGGAAGTCCAGAAATCCGCAAAGCTTGGGACCAAAGGTTGTGTGGATTTTAGAACAGAAAAGATAAAGCATAATATTCAAACTAAAAGTGCAAAATAAATAAGGCCTATTAGATACATTTAATTAAATTATTATATACATTATTGTAATAATTTATTATATGTATGGGTAAAGTACAGGAATGAGGTTTGCTGATTTCGCCTCATACAAAAATTTCCGGTTTTGGATTCCTGTGTTAGAATGAATCACTGTTGCTGTAAAATTTCAACAGCTTTTCTTTATTTTTTCGTATATCATACACAATTGTGTCACAATTCCATACAATTCTGCTATAAACTAAGGAGTAGCACCTGCCTCCATCTTTTGCAGAATTTGCACTTTTTGTATTACCGTCAATGCAACGTGTTTACGTTTTTCAACGTTTCAAGCAGTAAAATCATGAGTGTGTTTCTTATCTGACATTGTATTAAAAAGGGCTGAAATTAAAATGTTCTTAATTTATCCTCAAAATATTTGGATCAAAAAAAGGCAGCCCTAAATAATCTCGTGAAACACAAAAGCTGAGAAAATATAACGTGAATCGTAAACTTGAAAGAAGAGTTGAGTGAATCATCTGCTTTTTTACCTCCATGCAGATTAGAGGGGAAAAAATTATCATGATGTCAATAATTTGGTATTTCTGTTATGACTCATTATTATTCGGTAAGTATTTTTTCTTCGATATTTTGTACTCAAGGTTGTGATTTCCGGAACCTATAAATTGAATGTTTATATTTTGAGAGGCAACACGGATTTCATGAGTTGGCGGATTTCAGGTCGGCGGATTTTTGGTTTTTGACTGTAGTACAAAAATAATATTTTAATCAGCTTTTAACAAATGCGAAGAACAGTAGCAGATTTTGCTTTAATAAAGAAACTTCGTTATTTTGTTTATTAGCAATTGCCACGTAGGCCTGCTTTTACTAATAAAAGTTTTTCTAATGTGCCGTTATTGATAATAAGATTCAAATTTAGTCCTGGTTGTAATAACAACACTGAAAATCCTCTTGCATTCTGCATTACTGTGGGGTATTGTCAGGATGGCCAATATTATTCTAGACGGTTCACTATATACTGTAAAATCCATCAATATTATTATGTATGAAGGTAATGTTCTCTCTCTCTGATGGATTTGGACACTTTTTCTTTAGGAAAGCTGCTGAACAGCGACACAATTGATTAAAATGAATACTGTTCGCAGTTGGACAAACTGAATGATTCCATTGCACAGATGAAGACAGAATTAGTGAACAGGAAAGTGCTGGTGTTTTACCATGTCACATCAAGATTTGGTGACTCAAACTTGGATGGGATGTGCTGCCTCATACATCAGATCAGGCATCATTTGGTCTTTACAAAATTCCCTAGATGCTAAAACTTTCAATTCAAATGAAAGTGCTGAAAACTACTTAATTCAGTTTTTTGCCAATGAAACTATTTTTTCCAATACAAAAATTCCTTTCATTTTCATGCAAAAAATACAATTACTCTCCCAACTAATCAATATTTTCGATAGAAAATGAATGTAAATTAAACAAACATTGGATAGAAGAGGAATGTGGATTAACTCCTTAGCTGCCACGGGCGTATATATACACCTTGCTCAGCCGATGTGTTAACTGCCACGGGCATATATATATGCCCTTCCAAACTACTGTCATTTGCTTTCCGCTGCTACCCGTAAAATTATTCGCAAAGCTTTGGAATGTAGCACCACAATGACTTTGACAATTTATGCGAAGGAGGACACTATTTCAGAGAAGTGTGGGAAGAAATTGGAGAGAGGGGTGTGTATAAAGCGGTGAAAGTAATGACTGCGTGGTATTGGCTGGTGTTGTTTGAGTAAAACGTATTTTTTTTTTTATTCTGTGTCCTCCGTTTTCGTTTACTTTTTGTAGTAGGTTCCAGGAATAAAGAATGATATAACGGATGTTTCAAACCCATTTATCTTTTTTGAATTATTTTTTGATGAACTGCTCGTGCTTCATATTGCTACTGAAACTAACCGTTTTGTAGACGAGTATATGAACTAACACCTTGCAAACGAAAAATCAAGAACAAAATCGTGACATTCAACCAGTTCAGAAGAAATATGTTTTTTTAGGCATACTGATTTCACAAAGTATAACACTGAAACCTGATATTACACTTTACTGGTCTAAAAATGAGTTGATCAAAACTCCATTTTATTATAAAAACATTATTTTTATTATACTTACATCTTTTTATTATACTTTTACACAAAACATTAAATTCTGTGCATTCACTTTTTCTCTTTTATTCCTTATTTTGTGAAAGTAAACAGTTTTTAGAAAGTAAAACTTGCACTTATTCTCTCCCTAATACATCGTATAACTACGCGCGCCTGTGCGAAACACTGTGGCACTGAGAAATGAATGTTGTACATTTTCCGCAGCAGTTAAGGGGTTAAACAAACATGGGAAACCTAAATACTGAATTTATTCTACAGAATATGGACAGAAGTACATTTGAGAACTCTTTAAAAAAACAAAACATACAATTTTTACGAAGGATTTTGCATTCAATTTATCTTATGAAGATTTTTTACTTTTTTAGCAGAATGCGTTTTTCAAATTTATCATTAAAGATCAGTTTGTATTAATAATACACCTTTGATGTATGTATCTCATATGTGTGAACTACACTAAATCCTAGATTACAGTGCAAGACAAGAAAACAAAATAACAAGTCAAATGTATAAATTTTTGCTCTATAGTATGACTGAAACTGCAAATAAATTCTGTCAAGAACTGAAGGACCTAATAGAAAGCTGACACATTTTACATTTTTACAAAAATCATATAGCCAGCGACAATTTTCATGTTATATTTACAAATTCTATTAAAAGAGCATGTTCACACTCTCTAAAAGTAAGAAAAATCTCTACTTACATACTGCTAAAAAAGAAAGCTTGCAATCCTGTTAAAACGCTGTTTAGATACGCATCATTTTTACAGCTCAACTTGATTACTTTCATACTTAATATATATTATCTGCATTATCATGTACACTTTTTACACATACTGATGCATTATATGACTAAAGAGCTTACATCACAGCTTTATTTATATTACATTAACTTAAAGTCACTGACAATACCTTATAATAATACTTAAAGAATATATGAAGCTCAAATTTAAATAATCTCACAACTTGAAATTCTGTTGATAATTTCAGTACCCAAAACCCAATTTCACTATTGTAGAGATTATCCCCATGCTCTATAAATATCTCTCTCTACTCCTCTTCCATCTTTTCTAAAACAGCAAATTTTATGCAACCGCACAGCTTCAAATTTTCCATGATTAGAATAAATATCATTGATAAAATAGTATACCTCTTGTTTCTCGTTCCTCCCTTTTTTCAGTTGCTAAGTGCTCGTTGAGCAATGCACATCTATAGATATGGAGTTTTCATCTACCAAAATTTGAAACTGGAATGCTAGTGCAGATGAAACCAGATGATTAGAAAGCATCCCACACAAGTTCTTTACATTTGCTATTCAGTAATATTTCATCATCATTTAATTTTCTGATTTGCATCTACTCCATTGATATAAGTAAAAAAGGTGTGCCCATCCCTTTATGATTACAGCAGCCATCCTCTGCCAAAGAAGATGCAAACTTGGAGAAGGTGTTTTAGTACGATGCTAATGTGCCCCAGGACATACTCATACGTGGATGTTGAGTATCACATTTTCATAAGTAAGATTTTCATATAGTTCTTCTTACTTTAAAAATTAAAAATTTGTGGCAAATGTTTTGCTTTCTACTCATCCCTTCAATTATTTTACAATTTCAATATACCTGCACTGAAGTACTTATAGCATCTGTCTCAGTGAATGCTACATTCAACGAGCATATCCAGGTTAAACAGTAATGCAAAAATTTCATTGCAAGAGTAAAAAATTAACATTGTATATTTATATGTTTATTATGACTCAACACTGGGAACCCCTTTAAAAGTGGGTTCTAGATTTTTTCTAGTGTCTTGTTACTATATCCTTTTATTGTTTCTTCATTTATACCGAGATAATGTATGAAAACATTTGTGTTGGTACGTTTATAAGACACAACATACCGAAATTATTGCTGTTACTAAAAACACGCTATTGTTATTGTTGTTGCTAAAAACACACTGCTATTGTTATTTATCACCAGAATTTGGAAACATTTATGTTTACTGTGCCGATGAGTTAAAATGCTATCTGGTGAGTTCATTTATCATGTCTATTCTGTTATTTTACTAATATTTTCTTCATTACAGTACTATTTTTATGATGAATGCAGCAATTTAATAAAAGAAACATTAGTCATCCAAAATTCCTTGTTTCATTTTGAGATTTCTGCACACTTACTGCAATTAAATATCTGCAGTTGAAAGAAATTTAAAAAGTAGGGCTAAAAACATAAAATTATCAAAAAATATCAAAATATGAAAAATAATTAAAATTTTCTGAGTTTCTTCAAATAAAAACACAATACACTTGAAAATTAAATGAGTCGTTCAGAAGCCAATGCGGTTTAGTCCAATTTTTGATATTTTCTGATTTTTGTAAATTTTGATGAAATAAATAATATTCTTCTTAGTTATTAAAGGATTTACTCGTTGCTTCCTTTTTTTCTAGGTCAGATAGCTCTTTTTTTATAGCTTCTGAATATATTATATAGTCATTTCAGAAGCCATTCTGAGCAAGTCCACCTTTTATCAGTATTTTTTTATATAAACTTTGAAACAAAAATTAAATCAATACTTCTTCTTTCGATATTTGTTGGCAACACTGAAAAACAACAAATTCATAGTAACTGTAACTTCTACTATTTAGAATTGTTCGAGTTTTATGGATGTGCTTTCTTTTAATTTGAAATATCTAAACTTTGGTAAAACATAAAAGTATTACATTGAAGTGTTTGTGAAAATTATTGTGTTATCAAAAACATTAAATAATTTTTCTTGAATAACTGTTAAAATTCTGATTGATAAAAATGTCAAGGAAAATTTCTCATCTTCAGCTGCCAAAAGATACAAGTCCTAAAATTTTTAAGTTGCTGTCATTCTTCCAATAAATACTCACGTTTTTATTCACACATCCCTGTACATATCTTTTTTTTTTTTTTTTTTTTTTTTTTTTTTTTTTTTTTTTTTTTTTGCAGACTTTACACTAAGAAAAAAGACTTTACATACTTTTCTGATCAAATTAATAAACCAAGAATTTTAAAATTAATGTATCAAAAAACATTAATTTTCTCAATTTTTGTTTTCTGGACTTAACCGCACTGGCTTCTGAGTGACTGAAATGCCAAAATACTACCTATGTGTCTCCTTGTCTGTTCGACGACACTGTTTCGATTCACATTTGACAGAAGACCAAGACAGAAACGCTCAGAACTTGAAGGATCAGTAAAACCATCCACAGTCAATGACGGCTGAGATGCATGGAAAGTTTCTCCTACTCTAGTATTTAGTTCATAGTAAGAAATAGAGCACCAAAAGGCTGGCTCTGTATATGTAACAGGCTGAACATCTATCAAAAAGATTTTACAGTATAGCTAAAAACGATTAAAGTACACTGCAGTTAAAAAAATGTTATTTTTTACAATCAGTATAAATATTTTCTAAATACAGCTACAGGGACCAAAAGAACGTATAAAAAACTAAATTTCAAAATTTTCACAGGACAGATTTTTAAAATTTAAAAATGCCAAAATATGAATATTTGCATCATTTAAAATATTTTTGTAATTTAACATAAAGTATATGACCAGTGTTTCTGAAAATAAGGGCCTTATAAACACTTTTGTAGACAGTGTATGCAGAATAACATCTACTAACAAAGATGTATCACGATTTTTCCACTTCTTTGAAACATGGTTAGAGAGCACAAGGGAAGATGTGTATTCATTTTAATGCATGACTGAAAATTATTTTTCAGAGAATAAATATACTGTTCTTTTTATGAAAATTTTGCTTATAAACAGCCAGAAATCATTTTACCAATGAAGATTATACGTGCAATACAACTGAAATATAAGCAACTTGTTCACCTTCTACTGAAACATAATTTAGTTATAATTAGCCTGTAAACTATCACTATGTAATATTACTATTTTAGTCCAAGATTTTTGCTCATAAACACAGTTTTCATTTAAAAAAAAGGGGGGGGGGGGAATTTAAACATCAGCATTGCTAAAAGTTCTTTTGTAACTGTGATTTTAAATTAAAAAATATATAAGAATTTTTCTTTATTTTGCATTTATCAAAACTTTTTTTAAAGTATTTTTACCTGTCCTACGTACTTCTGCCCACCAGTGGCTGAGCGATAAAAACCAAAGAACACTGATCATTCAGCCTAAGCTCAAATACTGGCAAACAAGTGGCTGCTTGAAAATTTCCCTGGTTTTCCCATGTGTAATGGCAGATAGTCCATGTGTGCTTTGCCATAATCTACTAAATCCAATCCTAAGTATTGCAAAAAAAAAAAAAAAAAAAAAAGATGTAGAAGAAAATCTGATTTGTGACTGGTTTGGCTTGGTTTATTTTGTTTATGACAAAGCTCACAGGGACTATCTGCCTTAGGGAACAGACACCTTCATGGATGACTTTTTAAGGGAAATTGGCTTGTATATTATGTTACACATGGGGAGAACCAGAAAAACATCTATGAACCCAGCCTATTCAGATTGAATCAAACCAAGGTTAAACTTTCCCTGTTCAGCAACTTTACAGCTCAGCCACTGGTGAGCATGATTTGTAATACCAGAAACTTTAGAAAATAGTAATTTATAAGAGAATAATGAATAAATGCTGTGTTTTTACATTAAAATTTCATAAAAGAAAATTATTCTGTCAGCTATCCAGTTCATACATTTGTGAACTCCAACTCTTATATTTCCATCTCAACACCACATACAGTACTCATCAACAATTTATTTTTAGAACTTACATGCTTCTGCAATTCCACTGTGATTACATGGGAGTAGAAAAAAATCACTGTTATAAATTAAATTTACAAAATTCCTTCTGAGATATGATGTGAGAAAAAGTAAAATATGGACTTAAAAGGAGCAAGAAATTTTGCCTCTATAATTTTAGATTACATTCAGTATAATATATTCTATGAAAAAGTAGATATAAGTATATTAAGGCTGCAGCCCTAGATAAAAGTAAACAAGCCCAATTCTTATTTCTGTGAAAAGCACAATTCCTCATAATCAATACAACCAGCATTAACTTTCACATTACATAACTCAACAATGCAGAATACCAAATTGCCCAAAAGCTCAACAGACAAATTGCTAAATCCTGATCCACACATTACATGATTGTTATTTAAACTTTATAAATTCAGAAATACATTTCCCATAATTTCTATATACAGGGTTCGTAGCCACATTTTAGTTAAAAGTGTGTGTGTGTGTATTTAATTATGGCAAAATTATGGCAAAGCACACTAGGGCTATCTGCCTAAGGGGAGGGATGCCTTTTGTGGAGGACTTTCTAAGAGAAATTCGCTCGTATACACGTTACACATGGGGAAAACCACGAAAACGCCCATGCAGCCAGCCCGTTCGCGGGATTCGAACCTCGGACCGAACTACCAGCGTTCAGCGACTTTACCGCTCTGCCGCTGGTGGGCCTTTTTTTTTTTTTTTTATTTTAGTTAAAAATATAAGCACCTATAAAACACTTTTCAAGCACATTTTAAGAAAAAAAATAAGCACCTGTCTAATTACATTATACACAACTGCATAACGTTAAAAGAACAATTAGACTTGTAATTTAAAATATGAGAAATTCAGTATTTGTTAAGAGAGAATGAGCATTACTCAACCATGGAAGACAATAAACTTTTATTTTAATTTTTAATAACAGTTCAATTTACAGAATTAGTTTACAATGAGAGGGAAAAAAACTATGCAGAACTAAATTATATGCTAAGATTTAATGATGAAAGTTCAGTTCAAAATAGAGAAAATAAATACACTCATGTCCATAAATTAAGGATAATGCAAAATCAGGCAAAGGAAGAGTTAGAAGCAAAACAAATTTGACTTATTTTAAAATCTTATTTATTAAACAAAAGGTAAAGAGCAAAAAAAGAAGCTATATGTTTGATATTATTAAAAAAAATAGCGATTTTTTCTCCCTGGAGCAAATTACAAAAAAACCTATTTACAAAAACCAGTATTACATGGTTGGTATGATTGTTAATACATTGTATGTCTCCCAGACAGTGCAATACGGTCCGTACAAAGTCTAGGCATGCTGAGTAACAAATTATCGATCTGATCTTGGGGGATATTATACCACTCCAAAAGCAATGCTCTCCGAAGTTCCGGTGAACATGTAGGAGGAGGTTGACGGGCTGCAACTCGTCGGCCAAGCATGTCCCACACATGCTCTACTGGATTCAAGTCCGGTGAGAATGCTGGCCAGTCCATATGTGTGATATCCTCTGATTGAAGGCATTTGCTTACGATGTTTGCACGGTGAGGACGGGCATTGTCATATATAAACACAAATTGTGGGCCCATGGTGCCCCGAAACAAACGTACATGTTGTTCCAGAATGACGTCCCGATAGATTTGGCTTGTCATGGTTCCAATTTGAACATGCAGGTCAGTTCTGGAACCCGGAATAATTCCACCTCAAACGAGCACTCCAGCACCACCATAACGGTGTCAATCAATGATGTTTTCTTGGTGGTAACGGGTACCTGGAGCTATAGTCCGGCGAGAATCAGACTGCAAGCTAAACCTCGACTCGTCGGAAAACATCACACAAGTCCACTGTTGCGGTGTCCACAATGCATGCTCTCTACTCAGGCTAACCGCAGGCGACAGTGAGTTGCAGTAAGTGGAACGCATCTGACAGGTCTACGAGCATATACACTAATCTGCCCTAAGCGTCTGTACACGGTCTGCCTTGAAATTGTCGTACCAGTGGCTGAAGAGAGCTGACGAGACAGGTCTGAGGCTGCGCTCCGCCTGTTTCTTTTTGCAGTAACTGTCAAATACCGGTCCTCATTCGGTGTTGTAACTCTGGGGCGACCTGTGCTGTAACGTCTACTCACATTACCATCATCTTGGAATCATCGCCAAAGCCTGGATGTGACACTATGGGCAATTTCAAGTTCGTCTGATACTTCCAGTTGGGTATTCCAGACGGCCGATAATTCTACCACGTAAAAAATCATCCAAATGCGTCCTTTGTGTCATAACTATTAGGTTATTGCACTGAAATGCTTATAAAGCGCCTGAGAACAATTTTACTTCTTTGCCTGTATTCCTTATATATCACTCTCGTCATTGTGACGTACCATCGGTGTCATCTGGTTACTTCCTGAAATTTGCATATAATTCTTGAAGATGTGTGTAGTGATTTTTACAGGTGATATATTTATTTTAGAGTTCGATTTCCGCGTGACTCCGAATTATCCTTAATTTATGGACATGAGTGTAATAATAAGCCATATTTATTATATTCGCTTGGCACCTAAAAATAAATACAATTTATTTTTCCACTCCTATTAACATTTAAATAACTTTAATCAAAATTCTGAAATTTTTCTAAATGTTCATTGTATAACGTTTTCCCTTAACAGATATTGCAAACAAAGTAATTTAGGTAAAAGAAGGAACTTTTCTGAAATCAGAAGATGGGAAATCGCTTCATGCAGTCATCCTTTAACAGTAAAAGCTTAACTAACCGGCTTACTCGGAAATTACCGAATATCTGAAAATTCCGGATACTCAAGCGTAACTGGTAAAAGAGGAAAGGGGGTAGATTATGTAGCCGTTCTTTAGATTTTTCAGCTAAATACAGTACAAAGTCTTTAATCCGGACATCCATAATCCGGACCTCAAAGCTACGAACTTTCAGCGCATGCGTGTTTAATGTATAACGGATGGTATACACTAGGCTAAAATTATCTAATTATCTATTTCAGTTAATGTTGCAGATCGCATTATTGTTTAATCTTCTAGATTCGGCTTATTATTTTTTGAAGACTGTTAGAGCAATTTTATAAAAAAAGTAAGCTTGATGATTTTATAAAAAGAGTTTCCAATTATGGAGCTGCCAAAGGATCTACAAAGCGAAAGCATGATTCCATGTATTGCTTCTGATAGTGAAGAAAGTGACAGAGAGGTATTTGAAAACAAAAAAATTTCGATTGACAAGTTAGTCAGTATTCTCGACACAGCAATTACAGGACTTGAACAGTAGAACTGAACAAGAAATTATGTCTGTTTATAGAATTAGAGAAAGTATTAGCACAAAAAACGAAGCAACTTAAACAACTTACATTGAAAGAAATGTTTAATAAAGTAAACAAATAAATATTAAGCTTTTTTTTTTGTACATTTTGATACCCTTTAGATCATGATTGCTCTTTATTTCATAAATTATGGTTTCATATTTTTAATTTTATAATTTCTGCATGCCATCTTACCAGATTTAAATTGATGATCTATAATCCGGAATTGCCGAAGTCCCAATGAGTCCAGATTAAAGACTTTGTAC